AGAAAATCAACAGGTTGGATTTGCTACTGCTTGCATCATTGCCTTACGTTCTCGACTGTGATTGGTCGATTTTCTTATGCTTACGTTTTACGTCCTTACGTAATTTTATGTGTGAAGGCCTTTACAGTCAGTGTCACAAGAGCGTCGTCAGCGCCACCTATAGGGCGAACGATCAGGAATTAATTTTCTGCGGAATAGGACACAGGGAGGGGGAGTCTAATATGCTTTATACCTTATGGGCCGGTAACATTTGTTTAGTAGCAAAGAACACACGTTTTCTACGATGAGTGCAGCCTGCAGCCTACGCGAGTCGGTACGAAGCGGCCTAAACATTGAAAAAGTTATAAATTTTCTCTTGAACATCTCAAAAAGTATATTAGGCAAATAAAAAAATGTTTCAGACAAAACTTACGTACTTTTTAACGTGGCATGCGAATCTGTTATAAAAAGTGGGGGTTCCCATTTTAGATTTTAAAGTTGTCCCCCGCCTCACCCACAGGGGTGGGGGTGGGGAGGTCAATTTTGGTATCATTCAATAGCTCTTTCAAAAATAGGAAATACGTATTTTTCCGTTTTCCGATCCACCCACAATTTCTCGGGATATTCAACCGTTCCGGGACTTTTAGACCACCCTGTATATGAAATGACTCGGGAAGACATCCCCAACAACATATTTAAAAATGAAGCAAATCGGAGAGGAAGTCGCTTTTATGCATAATTACCGTCATTACTTTTGGTGAATTCATAGCCCAATTATTTTTTCGACTTAAGTAAGGTTAATTCGCGAAATTAAAGTTTAGTTTACGTAGCTTGTAGCTGGAAAACTGTTTGCACTTCGTTATTACTTATATGTATAATAATTTTGAATATTTCGAAAGCTTCTGTTTTAAATGGCTTGCAACTAAAAGATTGTTTCTCGCCCCTCTCTTTTCTCTCAAGTAAAGCACGAACGTTTCATTCAATTTTGAATTTGAATTTTTGCTAATGAGTACTGAGTCTAACAATAATGGAGCAAATAACACATATTACATTTTACGCAATACTACTAGCCGCTATTTTTATAGAACACCGTGCATAAAACAATAGTGCAGACATGGACTAATTGATTTTATCATGTACAATGTCACAGTTATCGGTAAGTTGTCGCGTACACGTGCCATTACCAAAATCCGTGACGAGGCGATGCGAGCCGTAAGTCGCGAGTTGGCACATTATCACGCGCGTGCACAGGGCCTGAATTCTCAGAGCGGGACTGATGAGCCGGAAAGAAAGAGAATAAGACTTATGCCATAAAAATCCTCCGTTCTATTCCTTATATACATAATATTCATGTATTTAGATTGTACCCATTACACCGTAGTAACATCAACAATATTTTTTTGTTCCATTCTTATTCGATTTAAATATATCTTTATTCGTATGTATAAATAAATTGTGAGAGGGGGAGGGTTTGAGAGGGGAACAAGGGTGTGGGTGGTTTGTCGTGGGTATCGCCTGGTCTTATTATACTCGAGACTGTGCTCTCGTCGTACTCTCGTTTGCCCTAAAGATATATACCTTTACGTCTATCTTCTAGCTTTAAGACTATTTTCTTTGTAAACGTGATCACAGTGTAAAGGCGTCGCTATATACGCTAAAGCGGTAAGCACATATGGTGAACACGGGTTAACACACGCTCCTGTGTCCTGTATATCCGTATTTTTACATCGCACCTTTCGCTCTCTTATTTTTTCTCCGTTCTCTCTCTCTCTCTCTTTCTCGCTTCAATCGAAGTTCTTCCGTTCATCTCCTCGCACGAATACACACAAACTTTCTCTTATCCTCGATGAATTATTCCCAATCAGGCACTTTTTTTGTTCACGATTCCGCCCCGAGGAGCCGCACGAGAGTACGACAAGCGCGCGCATCATTCTTGTTTTTGTAAAGGTATCTAAAAAGATTTGTACGTCAATGATGCTTTAATAATAAGGATCGAAAGTGCGAATGACGAACGTGTCCCTAATAATGAACATACGTGCCCTGCGTACAAAATAGTGGTAGTTTCGCGACAGCTCTTAAATACGTTATATCGATCGAAGATAGTAATAATTCGTGTACGTTGCATTCGTTTACGCGTGAGATCTCTCGACACGCGTCGTTCTTCTTTTCTTTTCCCTTTCCTCCGCTTTCTCTCCATTTTTTTTACATGTGAAAATTCGCCCGTTGTAAATCGTGTTACGTGGCATCGGCATCTGTTAGAAAAGCACCGTTAACGCTGAGACATTTGCTTGTTTAATCGTATAGTCCCGTGATTTCCGGTCCTCTTGGAATGCAAAGCAAAAATAAATTACTTAGACTCTAATAAATAATTATAATCGTATTAAATATTACGCGATATACAGAAAAGTTATTTAAATAACTACAACCATTTACAGCAGTGTCCGCGTGTACGTGTATCTCTTCGTCTCGTTGCGTAAGAGACGGCACATATTTATATATTTATATTATATCCGTGTATACATATATCTGTGTGTGTGTCTGTTATGTACGTGACTCTACGTGTGTACATACATGCATATATACACACGCGCAAACACACACACACATATATGTATATAGATATATGCTTTCTCATTTCTCTTCCCTTCGTGCTTTCTCTCCCGTCTAATACTTTTTCTGTACAAATATTTATATATAAAATATTTATCGGATTAAAGGCGAGAAAGGCGGAAAGAGGTGACCTCGGCCGATGCGAACGGACATCGAGATACCTGCCCGATACGTACAAGTCTTCGGCTAAAAGTCACACCTCTCGAACTTACCCCCTTTCGTGTTAATAATTAATAACGCACGCCCGGCTAGCTTTTGTTTTCCTGTACATCCCCGCTCCACGGTTTTGCACCGGTTTTTCACTGATGCGACACAACGTTCCTATCTAAAGGAGAAAGAAGAATAGATGGAACCGACGACGATACTTCCCGGTATTGACCACGTTGCAGCCAATAAATCGTCGATCCAACGGTAGTCACGTGTATCGGTAGTACGGTATATACGCCGCGCCGATGTGCTTTTGACGAACACGACGCTTCAGTCCTCTCCAATTCTCTTCTGAATTGGTAAAGCAGTACGAGTTCTTCACGATTCGGTGTCAAAATCCAAATCATTCAAGACTAAACTCTTTGACCTGATTCGCGGCATATTGCCTTGTTTCTATTGTATAAATTTTAACCACATAGGTCTTAAACCTTACATGCATAATTTCTTTTTGTCTTTAGGTGGCTTGGCCTTAGAACAATAATAAATGCGTTTTCTTGTCTCTCTGCATTGATAGATTTTCGACGAACCATATCCATGTCGTCGCGTTTGTCTCAAGCATCCGAACCGCACAGCGCCAACGAAAATCTCTATTTACTTGAAATTTTAATGTACTTTTTCGCGATAAAAGTACACAGCTATATACCATATATATATATATATATATATATATATATATACTTTTCGCGATTATCGACGGGGCGATTCGCGACGCACCCCATCGCACTTGCATATTTATTTTACTAATTTAAGACTAATGATAGAGCTCGGAATATCTCGATAAAGCCCTATGGACGGATAGTTCGTACAATATAACAGCATGATGGACGAGTGTATGTTGGCAATTTCTTTTTCTCTCTCGCAATTTTCTCTCTTTTAAAAGAAAGGCACAATTTGTCGCGTTTTGTACATTATTTTCTGAGAGAGCAGACATACCCTCTCTCGAATTTTTAAGAATAATTTACAATTCAATTTACAGTTGACTCGCCGTTATGCTCCAGCGAGCATGTTCTTGCGGCATTCGAAAGTATTTTTGGCGAGAAGTATGTCTGGACACGTCGCAGAAAATACTTATACCTTGATGCTAATGAACACTGAACGTACGTATTACGTACCGAATCTCCTGCCGTTTTGTTTCGTTCAACGAAGATGGAAAAGAAAAAAAGAAGAAAAAAAAACAAAGAAGAAACGGAAAGAGGAAAGACAAATTTTAACCGCGGGTATCTCTCTGCCTTTTACTCCCAGCTACTGATGACTTTTGCTCAGTAAATGAGAGTTGAACTGATACAGATTGCAGCACTGCTCCCCGCAAATATTGCACTTCCACGGGTTACTTTCGCTGTGACAACCTTTGTGGAGGAAGTACAACGTCTGATCTGGAAACGTGATGCGACAGTGGGTGCACTGGAGGCCACTCGTGCGAGGATCTGGCCTGGTCGAGGTGGGTGGTTCGCCCCTTGAGTGTGGATTGGAATTAGCGCTGCCGCAGCCGCTGTTGTTACTATTATTATTGTTATTGGTAGAGCTGGTGGACAGCTTACGGCGTAGATCATCGCGCAGTAACGACTTCAATGGTGACACCTTGATCAGCGACGGTAACGGTAGATTGCTCGACGTCGCTCCACTGTCATCCATACCGTTGCTGTTTGGCTCCTGCTTGATGGGTATCAGGGAGATGGAAGGTGTAATGGCTTCGTCACCTCCACCTACGTTCCTAAGGAAAATGCAAAGAAATGTGCAATTTCTCTTGTAATTTACACAATTTGTGAAACGCAACTTATTTATCAGTGAAATGGAGATTAGCTAACGTGAAAATGTTAAGACGTGGTAACTCGTAGCCATTTTTGAACAACTGCGATCAATTTCGCAAGTGTTCTCAGACGCTCACCTATGAATGGTACTGCTATTGATAGATAATTGATGATGACTACTGCTCGGCGCGTTGCTATTGCTGTCGGCGCTCTGCGGACTATTGGGACTGTCTCCGTTTAACGGGGCAGGACTCGGATTTCGTTGGTTGGCAGCTTGTTCGGGGTAAGGAATGGATATCTCCACGTGGGGCGTGAGGAAATGCATGGGGGGCGTGGCGTTGTCGGTCGAACGGTTACCAGTGCTGTCCCCGCTGTCGGACAGAGGTGCCGAAGGCATCGCCTCCCCGGACGTGCAACTATTCATTATGGATGTAGAGCTATTTGGTCCTGGATTATCTAAATCTATTCCATGTCTGTGGACAATAAAAGGCACGTATGAAGTATATGTGTAAAATGGGAGCAATTTCCTTTGATAATTCACGATGGCACTCGATGCAGCTTACCTATTAAAGAAGTGCAACCTAAGGCATTTCATTGTTGCCGCACGATAATTACAGAGAGGGCACGATTTAACCATGTCATGCTGGCCGACGTGCTCGTTTTGAAAGTGAGCGCGCATCGCGATCTGTCTTTGGAAACCTCGGTTACATATCGGACAATGGTATGGCAAAGTTTTCGAATGCGTCGTAAAGTGTTCCGCAAGATGGTCCTTCCGAAAGAATCTCTTCTGGCATACCCGACATTCGTACGGTTTCACGCCCGTATGCCTCATCTGAAAGATAAAGGGGAGGACACAATAGGTCAAATGTTGACAGATAACTATACGTATACAGGGTGCTCCCGGGTTAATGGCCAAACTTGAAAGATGTATTTAGGACCTCAAAGCAAGAAAAATTTCCCTCTGGAAATATGCTCGTAAACGTTCCGTTCAAGAGATATTGACGTCTAAAGTTATGAACTTTTAGGAATGAATAATTTCGAAATATGACTATTTCTTTGATTCAGAATTCCTTGTCTGGTAAATATGGCTTCATCTGCCCATAAAATGTTTTGCGAGAATTGTAAATCATAATTTGTTTGATTTAAAAACCAATCGCAAAACATTCAGTACGACGGAACTTTGTTTACGAAATCGAAGGTCATTGATGATAGGCTTTTATTTGCATGGTGAACAAAGCGTCGTATCATCGTACTTGGTTCGTTGAATGCTTTCGTCGAATAAACTGGTATGAAGTGCCTGTTAATGATCTTCAATCATTAAAACGGAGGATAGTGCAGGCGTGTAACGAAATTACAGACGCACAATGTCAGTCAGCCACTCATTCTGTCATCGATAGATGCAATGCATGTCTCCAAGGTGGAGGCCATCATTTTGAACAAAACGTTTAATAATTAAATTTTTATTATTGAAAAGCAATAAAGAGGATAAATCTAAATTATTTCGAAATTATATTCATTCCTAACAGTTCATAACTTCAGAAGTCAATATCTTGTGAACGGAATGTTTACGAGCATATTTCCAGAGGAAAATTTTTCTTGCTTTGAGGTCCTAAATACATCCTTCAAGTTTGGCCATTTAATCCCTGTATACTCGGAGAATCACAGAGAATTATTGCTTGAGAAAATAAGATTAAATTGAAGAGGATTATAAAATTCTCTTATATTTACCAACATGTGTCGTACTAACATACAGGTCTCTCCCTCTCTCTCTCTCTTTCTGTACTCACTTTGTGTCGTCTCATGTTAGCTCCATTTGAAAATTTCATGTTACAGACGTCGCATTCAAACATCTTTCTGTGAGACCTGATTCCCGAATGGCCCTCCTCGCCGTCTCCGTCATTTTCCGTCCCTTCTATGCCCTCAGCGCTCTCCCCGGCTTCGCCGCTCGCCAGACATTGATCTTGATGAGCGGAGAAAGCTGCCTTGTTTATAGTTTCATAATTGTCGCACCTATCACACCTATGGGATCGAGAGAATTAGAATCCGGCGTATGTCCGGTTGTTGGCGAGCCAGCTGTTGGCAAGCAACCGTCGCTCGAGAGCGGTCGGACACGAGGGTCCGTCGAGCGAGCCTCACCTGAACGCAGGGACAGCTCCGTCGCTACTGTCATAATTTGTATTGAGAGCCGCCTCGTTGTCGGGATCTAACGCCTCTTCCTCCCGATGATTAGAAGAGTCTCCAGCCTCCGCTTGCGAAGAGGAATGGGAGTCTACCTCGTTTTCCCCACCACCACCGTCAACCCCATCTGACATGTTACCAGGCGGAAGGACTATCTTGAGTCCGTCATCTAACCTAAGACGACAAGCACTTGGATTAGTCGAGCGTACTTTTTCGACGAGGCGGCCGCCCGTCGGAGTCGCACAGCAGCCCCGAGACAACGCGCCGTGGAACGCGGCGGCGATCACCGTCCGCGCATTTAAATACGCCCGTAACCCGCTTAAACGAAATCGCGCTGCCTCTCCGCGCTAGAAACGACGGGTGTCGGAGCAATCGCCGCGCAAGGATCGATCATCTGACGCGCTCCGCGTAGTCCGCGTTCCATATTTCGCCGAGCCGAGCGAACGGGAGGCTCGTCGCTCGGGGCAGCCGACTCGATATCGTCGTGCCCTACATAGCGTCAGCGCGTTCATCGTCACCACGCTCACGGACACGTCGCGGCTCGCAGGACTCCGGCGTCGCTCGTGCGCGCGCGAGCGAATCTCTCGTCGACGCGTCGCGCAATCTCGACGCGAATTCCGCGGATGGAACCGAGGCTGTTTTTCTCGCGCGTCCTCGCGTGGTGCGCGCGGACGCGCGCGCGCGAGAAAAAGAGAGAGAGAGAGAGAGTCGTCTCACCGTGACGTTACGCGCGAGTTCGCGTCCGCTCGGCTGCATCTCTCGCGCCGTCGCGCGCCGTCGCCCGATGCCCCCTTTACCTGTCAGCTCTCTCTTCGGCGCGACGGTGCCCGATACCCGTGTATCTCTCTGTCAGGCGTCTGATCGGCCGCGCGGACCCGCGACCCCGCGGCAGCGAGCGAGAGAGAGAGAGAGGGAGAGAGAGAGAGATTGCGCGCGTGAAACGCGAATATACTCCGAGAAGGGATGCCCGAGTGCGAGCAAGGTGCAACGGTACGAGTGTTACCCAATCCTGGGAAGATTACGGCATAGAAACACCTGGTGGTAAAGCGCAATGCCAGAGTGCACTGCACTTTGTCCCAGTTTCGACCGAATCCGTCACTCGTGACGTAGTTTTCGCGGCTTTTCCGCGGAAAGTCTCTGGCGGTCGCGCGCACACGACGACGGAGGGGGAGGGGGAGGTGGAGGTGGAGGAGGTGGAGGAGGAGACGGAGGCGAGAGGAAAAAAATGATTGGCAACCGGAGAAGGAGGGGGAGGGAACACCTCTCTCTCGCTCTCGGTTTTGCGGGCCACTTACTCACATTCCACGGGGGGAGGGGGGGCCGCGGCGGGTGCACCTTCCTCGGCGCCACGACGGAATTTCGCCCCGACACACTCACGACGAGCGCTGCCGCGCACGCATCTCCCTGGCACTTATTTTTCTCTCTCTCTCTCTCTCTCTCTTTCCTCGTTTCCACCCCGCGGTAGCAGCGCGCACAAATAAAATGTAACGGAAGCGCGAGGTGTCTCCGTACGGCACTTCACTTGCTCTCTCGCTCGCCGTGATATCGGCACTGCTGCCAACCACGTCGCCGTCGGCGGAGTCGCCAGAGCAGACTCGCGACGCTCACGACTCGGCCCGTGCTCGCCGAGACCAGGAACGCGCGGACCTCGGCCGCACTCGCGTCGGGCGTGCGCGCGCCGTGGGTGACGGGCCGCTGGCGCGAACATAACCTCGCCCGCGGCCCGAGGTTGGTACCGCCCGCGCACTTCAACTCCGTTCAAACCTGTCAAACGTCACGCGTCGTCTCGCTGCCGTATCGTCGCGTCAATCACGCCGCGGTGTGCCTAACCTAACCTAGCCTGACCCACCTATACGTAAACTTTCATCCGGGAACGCGGGAGAGAGACGATGTGACATCCACCGCGATAACGGCATTGATCTTGTCGCGTGTCGACATTGCTCGACATCCATGCCGCGACTGCCGCGACGGGCGCGACCGCACCGCTCCAGTCCGGCTGCCAATCTCGCCGAGTCTCACGCTCGCTGCGCCTCGCTGCCCGCAGCTGCGTCGCGCGAGAGTCGTCGCCGCGAACTGATATCCTCGGCGCGCGTCCACCGATGTTTATCGGAAACGCGCGGCCAGCGTCCGCAGGTCGACGGTCCCTGCTTCCCGACTGACGTAAACAGGTAAATTCCCGAGACGCATATCTCGCGTCCCCGCAAGCCCCTACTCCCCGGCACGTTGCGACGAGCGGAGAAGTGACCGAGCTCGAGCTCCTCCTCGGTGTCTATTTTCCTCGGTATCACAATCGCCTTATAGCGTTTTCGATTTGCTGACTCGACCCGACTCCGAGTCAGAAAAGTTTGATGAAAAGTAAGATTTTTGCAGAAATTGTGGTTCAAATTCTTGCTTTTGATCAAACTTTTCTGACTTGGGGTCGGGTCGAGTCAGAAAATCGAAAACGCTATTAGATGTGACATACCTGTATATATACAGGGTGATAAAAAACCAAGTGCCATAAATCTGTGCGATGAATACAAGCATTAACCATGGGTCAGTGACGTTTTATTGCGGCGTGACGGGCGTTTCATTGAATCGTCACAACTCTCCGTTTAGTTGTTTGCTCCTCCGTTTGTTTACCTCTCAAGGCGCTTGTAAGGCCTTTCTTTCTCAAGTTATCAGCGATCACAGTGAGAAACGAGTAGCTGGAGTTTGTGGCCTGCAAGGTTTCTTCCTCACCAGATTTAACGCCTCTCGACTTCTTTTTCTGGAGTGCAATGAAAAGTATGATTCCATTCCGAACTAGTCGAATCCGAGGAGGATCTCTGGTCGCTCGCATCGTCGGGGCATCTGAAACCATCACATGCCTGAAATATTTCCAAGAACGAGGTCGTAACTTTGAACAGTTACTTTTAAGAAGAAAATCATTGCATCGCAGACGTTGTGACGACTCAATTAAACGCCCGTCACGCCGTAATGAAACGTTGCCGAGCCATGGTTCCTATACTTGAAATCAAAGTCTGCCGCGACCGTTTATATGCAACGTATTATTTAAATGGTTTCCGTTTGATCTCCGCGGTCCGCTGGTAGATATTCTGTTATACTTGGGCGCCGAGTGCTCTGCAGACAAAGCTGACAGCGGACGCTTATTGCTAGTAACATTTATTTTCGACAGATATGGATGCATCTCACAGCAGAGAAAGATTGCAGGAAGATTGCAGAAATGTTACATTGCAAGATTGCAATATTGCAGCAACATTGCGCAACATTGCTGTAACGTTTCTGGAGGATTGCAGCAACGTTGAAATGTCCGCCCTCAGAGAGATTGCAGTGCAACATTATAGCAATGTTGCAGTGCAATATTTTTGGAATAATTTGTTGTACACAAGCAGAGAATTTACTAATTACATATGCATCCGGGCCTTTTTCAATACACAGCAAGCTATTGCGAAGCAATCTAAGGAGATTATGTCGCTTCGCGATAGATGGAGATTGCGAGCAACACCGCACTGATCAAGTACTTAATAATTCGCGCATTATTGGTATCAACGAAAATAACATTATAAAATTCTTGTAATTAGACACATTTTTTAAATAGAAAATATAGTATTTTTATTATTTTTGAAACAACAATATTGCTATCGAAAGTTTGCAATTTTATATCCCTGCAATGTCTCTGCAAGATTGCACTGCAATCACGTTTCTGTAATGTAACTGCAACCATCTGTGCTGTATGGATTATTTTCGACAGATATGAATACATTTGTCCACCGATGTTATCGATTCACGAACGAGCGTATTGAGGAGATACGCCGATAAGTCGTGGAAAAAAAGTTATTTACTCGTGCTCGGTGCAGCTGTGTTCGCGAAGGAGGATTAGCGGAGCAAGGAGGACGGAGAGAAGAGGGAGAGAGGGAGATAATGGGGAGAGCGAGACAGAGTACACGTTATGGTGGCAGAGTGTTGGGCGTTGCTCTCCGCTACCTGTTGATCGTCATTTACATGTTATCTCCTCGTGCGGTTGTCGTGGTTTCGCCAATCCGTCGGCTCTTTCGTGATGATTTTTATCATGAGACGCTACGGTGAGATCGGAGTGAGTGATTGTCCCGTGATCTCTCTCCCCCCCCCCTCTCTCTTCTCTGCAGCGTATCTCGACGATCCTCCCATTCCTCTTTTTCACACGTTACGTATTTTTCCGCGATCGATCGGATTCGTGTGCTTTGTCGCTGATAAGAATCCGTCCGTTTTGCATATGTTAAGTGCTGCTAGATGGATTCTGCGTTTAACGTAAGCGACGTTTCTCTGTTTTCCTGTGTTAACGTAAGCGACGTCCCTCCATTTTCGGGCTGTTTTATTTAATACTTGTAACGAGGCATCTAGGGGGTCGATTGCGGTTCTCAGATTGGGTGAAAATGACGAAAGTGTAGTAACTCACCCAATTACGGTTGATCTCACCTCGTGAAAATACGAGTTTGTCGCGTGAGCGGGTTCAACGGGCTATTTTGAAGTGAAACAGATGAACGGAAAAGTGAAATGAGTTACAATAACACAGAGCAAAATAGAGATGTTATTAACAGTGTTTGTGGTTCCGTAGGAGACTACGAGATGCCTCAAATCCATTTATTTACAAGTATTTATAGGAGAGTGACTAAAAATTAAGTATCTTGAAAACATAACCTATTGTTTAGTATCAAAAATTGAAGTAGAACGAGACGTAAATTTGTCTCGTTCTCTTAACCTTACTCTTCTTTTTCGGCGTGAGAGTGTGAAAATATGAGATTAATATCCCGAAAGTGCCTAGTGATCTCGCAGTTTCACTCGACACAACCGTAATTGGACGAACAATGTCACGTGAGATGAAAACGTGAAAAGTGAACGAGCCCACCGAAAAACCGACAGTCTCGCAGAGACTGTTGAATTTGATTGTTATAAGACTCGGGATCTCTGTCTCGAGAATAACTGTTGGCACGAGTGGCAAATTCGGGAGAAGAATGAGACTATTGAGAATTCACGCCTCGTAGCTGACACTTAAAAAAGCGCAAAGATTCTAAGATACTTTCGCATCGATTTAGTGGAAAGAAATGTGACATCTCGTTCTCTACTTGCTGCCATAATTATCTTTTACAAATAATTCTCTTTGGACAAGTTCACCAACTGTTGATAATGCAATTGCGATATATTTAAATTAATTCCTCTCGAGCCCAAGTGCTCCACTTCAATTAGATACAATTGTAATTTTATATAGAACGTCAGGACAAAGTTTACATTTTATTCACTCGCATGCGTCGGAACAAATGAAAATTGTAATTCTCTTGTTGCAGCGTTAAGTGATGGGCAAAGGTGAGGAGAGAAACGGTACGACGGCGCAGGCGGGCGAATCGACATTTCTGGCCAAGAGCTCGAACGAAGCCAGTAAGATGCTGGAGGCTGCGCTACTCCAAATGGACGACATTATTTCCGGTACAAATATGATTTATAGACATATCAAATTTCGATATATCGTCTAAATGCACGAGATGAAAATATCTGTACTTTATAGATACATTATCGACACAATTCTAAGAGAAAATTGTGACTTTGCCATTAAAAGAAAGACGAGAAAATATTCAGAGACACGATTACAGGTTCATGGTAAATTCCAGATTGCAAATATCACAGGGCCACTTTACTCTTTCGCCAAATCCCAGTTGAAACATTCGTTGCGACGATTGCTTATATCGCAAATATATTTGCAGGTGCTTGCGCGGAAAGCTCGGCCGAGAGCAGCACGGAGTGGAAGAACTCGGTGAAGGAGGCGGCGAGGAATCTCGTGACCGCGATAAAGAGCGCACCGATGCCACCCCCGCCGCCCGATGGCGTCACCCAGAACATCCTGCTAGCGTGGATGCAGCCGGTAAGCTGGCAGACAGACGGGGGATCGGTTTTATGCCGCTTGCACACTCGCCTCTCGACGAGCGAGGGACGAGTCTCGTCCTGTCTCCTCAGAATTTGCGCCCTTCCGCGACTTGCGCCTTTCAAGGCGCAGCACGTTCCGGAAACGAGAACACTTCGCGATCGACGGCGTGCGTGGAACACGTGCGGTGTCCGCTGCGCGCATCCGGAGCCGCGTATTGCATCCGGTGCATGCTGCGTTAACGCGCGCACGTGTTTGATCGCCGCCGTACACTGCTCACGTACATCCGCGCGTACGTAATGTCTAACTTCGTAATCGTTAGACCATAATCATGGATGTGATGTTGACCGACTCGAAGAGTCCAGTTTTGGTTTTACTTGTCACTGCATTACTGCCTTAACCACGGATGTGTGTGCTGCGATTATCGTGATGTACGCTCAGATTTATGGACACATGGATCCTGCTCGTTGCTTTAATTAAAAAAACTTGTATAATTAATTGGCGAACATTACGTATAAGACTTATTGCTATCGCAATGGTCTTAATTTGGATCCGTTAATGTTTGTCTCGTAATTAAACCTGAAGAGGACTGCGATTTGCAGTCGAAACGTCGTTGTGACAATTAAAATACATAGCCAGTTATGTCGAAACTAATTGATTGATTATATTAAATTATTGATTTAATTACTGGTGAGAGAGGAAAAACATTACCAACAACAATTTAATTATCACTCTTGTAGCACTTTTTGTCGTACGATTGCTGGTCGGATTTATAATTTCCACTATTATATTTCATCATGTCACTTATTATGCGACTTAATGTTGAAAATATTTTTTTATGGGACTTGAATAGCTAGAGATGAATGGCCGCGATCGTAGGTCTCCTAGGTAACGAGAAGAGAGGACATTTATAAAGTCTATTTATAAATTGCTGTTACGCCTCTCTCTCTCTCTCTCTCTCTTTTGCGTACTCCCTCCCGCTCGAAGGATTTCATGGCGTTAATTTTAGTTTCGGCGGAGACGATGCCGCGGCTGGTAGCGCGAGAGTGCACTTCACCGAGATAACGTTCGATTGTGTAGAAATCTGCCGATATCAGAGTCCCCGAATGCACTTTGTACGGCAACATCGTTATACGGAGTGTCTATTGTAAACGGTGACCTCGCGAGAGAAAGTAAGTGATAGAGGTGTGATTTTTATTGGTAAAAGTATCTTGACATTAATACATCTGTCACTGAATCAGATATGATACCGTAATGTGTTTTATGCTGAGCTCAACTGGCAAGCAACCGCAGTAATTGAGTGGAATAAAACGTGCGGCGTGAAAAAAAAATTCATCATGGAGAACACCTGGAGCGACGGAATCGCCGGAGAACGAAAGGATCTCGCTCCCATAATGGAAGAAGAGGACAAGGGACAAGCGAAAGGTTTCTAGCTCTTCTTTTTCCATCTCGCATGACGTCAGTGAGAAAAGTAGAAAAATGCTAAATCTGCCTTCCGATAACATTAATACGTCTTGAGAGTTGACGTAAATCCGCAGTTAACGATTTTCGCGAAAGCGAAGCCACTCGAGCGGTTTCGATTCAACGGCGCGATATAACTTGGCAAACGTCCGACGACAGACGAGCTGGCGAGACTCGTCGCGTTGCGGTACTAAAATCGTGCGGCTGGACGGCTTGCTCTGGCTGGCCAGTGCACCGAAGTTATGCTTTTGATGGTGCCCGAATAAATGGCACGCTCGAAATAGATTGCCTTAACCGAGCAGAGCGCACCGACCGCAGTTGACCGTCGATCGAAGGCACATACGTTCGTTGACTCATACTTGGAGTACGCGTATAGTACGCGGGGAGAAGGATTGTTGTTTCAATCTCTGTTAAAGTAAACAGCCGTCGAAGGTCAGTCGGCGCTAATTGATCGACCTGCGTTACGATCTTGGGAAATTGGCCGCGCGATACCGGAACACGCGTCTATCGGAAGATACCTCTTGAACCCCTCGTGCGCGTGGATTAAAAAAAGCTTTCGCCGTATCTAAATTCAGGTTCGCAGTCGGACTCGTCGGACGCGGCGTCGACTATAAAGCGCTGGAACAGTCGGTGGACACCCTCAGAGGGCTACGATTCGTCGGGTACGTCGACCAACTCCGACGTGGGTGACGAGTACGTCGAGGATATCAGGGCGGACTTGTCCGAGCCGACAGTCGCGTGCCAGACGGCCTACCGTTCTCAGGAGTGTTTGTGCCAGGTTGTGTAGACTTTAAGTATCCTCGATTCCTCCGTGGCGATCGAGTTGAAAAAGAACTTGTGTATATACTAAGTATAATATAAGCGAGGTACTCGTATCTCTCGTCGTGAGGGCTATTGATAAAATGTCATTGCAGGCTTGCTTACTCGGCTATGCCAAAATGATAGCGCTTCAAGGCAGTATGCCTAATATCTGTGCAGTATCCAGCGGCATGGCTAATATCTGCCCGTCTGCGACGACTGCGCGTCTGGCGAGTTACCCGTCTCTCTACGCGATGCCGTGTTCAAGGTCACTGTTTGTACAGCATCCCTTTTACATTCGCGCTCGACAAATACGAGAAATTTTCTAGTCAATTCTAATGAATTTTATATAATGAATTTTGCCATGCGATCCTTGCGAACCAACAGCGTTTCTAGCGAGCTCGCGCATCACGCCGTTAAGGAACACGCGAGAAGCGTCGCTCATTATCCGCACGTTTGTCACCTGCAACAAGACCCGTTGTTCGCCAAGGAGCGAGAAATACACGCAGGTAGCAGGACGAACAGTACGACATCCCTGCCGGTAAGCTCGACGGGGAGATGCGCCGGTTCTTTGGACAGAAGACGACGCCGATTCCGCAGTAGAGTGGATCGCGATCAGAGAGCTATGTCTCATAGCGATCTGATCTGCCACGAGAGGGATAGGCCGCAACACTACTGCTCGCTGCAACAGTTTCACTGCGGGAGCAATATGTGCATAAATAATTATCATAGCAAGACCGAGGTATACTGTGTATGGAAGAACTTTTAATAAAAACTCGCGCGATTGTGCGATGCACCAAAATGCGAATTTTTCCTCATTCCTTTTATTTTAACAATCAAATATTTACGTTACACATTATATTTCAAAATAGTAAGACTTTTCATCAATCAGATATCGATAACCGTTTTGTCAATTTGCTTTTCAGGAACGATTGAGAAAATTGGAAAGCGAACGTGGTGCACTGCACATGGAAGTGTCAGTTTTGTCCGAGCAAGTCGACGCACAATCGAATAAGATTCAAGAGCTAGAGAGCTTGCTCCAAGAGAAGAAAGATACTTTGAGGCAGATGGAGGAAGCATTACAGAAGGTAAAGTTGTCGTATTTGTATGGCCGACTTAGAGCCTCACGTGCTCATTCGTATTACAGGAGGTTCTATCGAGGAGCGCTTTGGAGACACAAAAGTTGGAGCTTCTTACCTCCCTGTCTGAAATGAAACTCAGACAAGCTAGTTTGGAGCACGAAAATCTTTCGCTGCGCAGTACAAGTCCTTTATCGAATGTTGGTATATATTTCAATATTATAAAATTCTACGTTAGGCTTTACGCACATTATGGGATGCGACGAGAAAATTTACTAAGCAATTTTACGTTTACAGGGAGAACGATTCAGCAGACATACGGGTCAATATAGTAGTCTTCCTAGGCCACCGACGTCCAAGAAAGGCGTCGTATTTGGTAAGGTTCCAAATTTAGTCTCGGGAGCACATACAACGGTACCTTTGGCCGTTAGGGGAGTCTCTGCGAGATGTCTGTCTGCTCCTATTTTAGGTTTCGATCGATTTTTATCTAAGCATGCGGTGTCACGTTTAAAAGTTTTTAACGATGAACCTGTTGTCTCGACTTATTAATTGACTTAACAGCATGTCGTTGCGATAAATTGAAAGGTCGTTCGCTTGCAACTTACGATGCGCATGCATTCGGGCGTTATTATTATTTAATAATAATAATTGAATTCGTTAAGTCTACGCAGTGCGAATTAATTTTTATTTTCATTCTCATGCAACTATTGAAAGGCGCTTTCTCTTCATCTTAATTTCATCACTTAACTTGATCTCACCTTGGAATTTTATCAAGCCGAAGAATGGATTATTGATTCGATCCTGTATCGTTTCGATTGCTTTCAAGTATTTGAAGAAATAACACGAGTAACAAAGAGTCATGTCGGTATTTCGTCTCAATGCAATATTGAAAAGGGTCAATAGATATCATTATTCAACGTACATACATATACACATGTATAAAGTTGCGTGTAATTATATAAAAAATATATGTTATCGCAGCGGAGGAAACAAAAGTCGTGATGTGTGAAACGATCGCGCGAGTGGAATTGTCACCACCAAAACCGCTGGCGGAACTCGGTATGGAGGAGATCGGTGATTGGTTGTCTCGCCTTGGTCTGGAATGCTATACCGCCGAGCTGAGACGTTGGGGTGCCACCGGATCGAAACTGCTCGACGCCACGCAGGTTCAACTGGAGAAAGAGTTAGATATAAAGAACTCTCTGCACAGGAAAAAGTTGCTTTTTGCCATTGAATCGGAGCGAAACAACGGCGCTGGATTATTCGGTTCTCATAAGGTTCTTAGGCGATCAACGTGTTATGCTGTAACTTTATCGAGTTTTCTGAGACAATCCGAGAGTAAAAGTCCTCTCTGATACCTCGCAGATGGATAACGCGGCCGTGTTACGATGGCTAGACGATATTGGACTGCCGCAGCACAAAGAAGCCTTCCACAACGCCAAGATCGATGGTAGAGTTTTACACAGGTTGACTACAGAGGATCTTTTGAACCTTGGAGTAGCTGCACAATTACACGCCGCCAGTTTAAGACGTGGAATTCAGGTACTCGACAACGTATAAGCTTTCAGACTCTTAATTATATTCAGCTACTACATGATAGTGAATATAGCGAACGTAATCGTAATCGTGTAGGTTTTACGAGACTTGAACTTTGAGTTTGACAATTTGGAAAGAAGATCCATTAACGGGAATGGTGCTGATGGTACAAACGTAACTTTCTGGACGAACCATCGTGTGATGGAATGGCTGCGGGTCGTAGATCTCGCAGAGTACGCGCCGAACATGCGCGGCTCCGGTGTTCACGGCGGTCTTATGATCCACGAAGGTCGATTCACTTCCGAGCTGCTCGCCACGTTGCTCAGCATTCCACCGGCGAAGACTTTACTTCGTAGACACTTGACGACGCACTTTAATCAGATCCTCGGCAGAGACGTGGTTCAGCAAAAGCGCGAGATAGAGAGCACGCTTGGATTCGTTCCATTGACGCTTACCGCTAGATTAAAGGTGCGCTTTATTTGTTCTTATCTTCGCGCTTTATCTCACGGAGGAGGCACGATAAAGGATTCCTCATATTTTGGTGTTTAAATGACGATTAATGATTTCACCCAAGGTACCAAAGAAATCTCAATTCACGCTGAAACGCAAGAAGAGTAAAAACGAGATGGATTTCGGCAACTTGGTTTGTCCATTGGAGGCATCGCCACCAGGTACCCCTTCAACGCCCTCGTCAACACCGGGCAGCCCTAACTTGAACTCACCCACATTTTCTAACCACAATTAAAGCTTCATTCGGGTAATCATCTCAACTAACTTGTAAGTCTAACTCGACTAATGATATTAAAGATCGTATTACGATCGAAAAATTATACTTTCATAAGTTGTTTATGTTCTTATTACTGGAAAAGCTCATTTTCTCGCTAAATACTATCATCATGATTTTACCCATACAGCACGGATGGTTGCAGTTACATTGCAGAGACATTGCAGGGATATAAAATTGCAAACTTTCGATAGCAATATTGCAGCAATGTTTCAAAAATAATAAAAATACTATATTTTCTATTAAAAAAAAATTTTAATTACGAGAATTTTATAATGCTATTTCTGTTGATACCAATAATGCGCGAATTATTAAGTACTTTGTTAGTGCGGTGTTGCTCACAATCTCCATCTATCGCGAAGCGACATAATCTCCTTAGGTTGCTTCGCAATAGCTTGGTATGCATTGAAAAAGGCCCGGGTGTATATGTAATTAGTAAATTCTCTGCTTATGTACAACAACGGCAAATTATTCCAAAAATATTGCGCTGCAACATTGCTATAATGTTGCACTGCAATCTCTCTGAGGGCGGACATTTCAACGTTGCTGCAATCCTCCAGAAACGTTGCAGCAATAATGCAATCTTGCAATGTAACATTTCTGTAATCTTCCTGCAATCTTTCTGTTCTGTGTAGATATATGCGTATCTTGAGTAAGCGAGATGTAACGATTATTATACGTATGTATATCCATTTAAGGTACAATATACATACTATGTATATTGCTGAGTTTTCAATTAAACTCCTACTAGCCTATATCGTAACTGTTACTTCAACATGTTGCTTGTTATTCAGTCAGTCTCTTCATGTATTTCTTCATTATAATCAATACTTGTTCTTTTTATCAAAAGCTTTTTACTTAGAAGACACCGAATTCTACATGGCGCTATTATTAACTATCTCGAGTGTCGTTTATTTTCTGCATATGGTTAAAAGAAATTTGTGCTTTTTAGACTCGGAGGATACTGGGCAAAGGAGAGTTATAGGTTGCATATGAAGTCGACGAATTGCGAGAGGATATATTTCTATGTAAAACGGATACGTACATGTCCAAATAACCCGAGACAACGCGCGAAGAAACACCAGAATCACCTGGGACCAGTTATCCATAACGTAACATACATACATAAAAATGTGCATTTTGACAAGAAGTTGGGCATAAACAAGAGCTAACTCTGACCACCGCCAAAGTTTCATTAATGCCGCCGGCTAAAAGATCCCATAAAAATTAATCGCTTTGAAAAGAAATATTTTTACTACAAATATAATTAAATTATGTATAGGTATAGGTAAATCGGAAATAAAGATTAAATTTGTACCTATTCTTTATACTTACCTTTATTCATTTTTAATTCTTGTGTAAGAACAACGTGTAGTATCTGTTCAATCAGTTATCTGTTAGATGTCTCCGATTTTTATTATTTAGGAAAAAAAGTTGGAATCGCGTAGTCTTGTGCGACACAGCTGTGTACAATTGTAACTCACCTTTTCTACAATCGTAAAATAATGTTTACAATCTCTGTTAATTTTTTTTAAGCAATCAATTTTATTACAATTTTGTTCGTTTTATTAATATATCATTTAATCGTTGTGTGTGTGTTTAATTTCGTACTTGTATACATCTTATTTTGTACTGTTCAAATCTGTTCAAATAATAATTATTATTAAAATTATTATTATTATTATTAATTATTATTATTACAAGAATTATCAGTAAATACAATTTTAATGCAAACGTTTTCTAAGAAAATTTTAGACATATTTTGTAAAAAGAAAAATTGGTCGTCACGCTCGACACAATTTCCGCGTCAATTCACGACTAGCGGGACTTTTCGGTATACATCACATGCGCATGCGCAATACACGTATGCGTGATTCTCGATGGCTTTAGATTGGCAGGACTGCGGACCGCGGGTGCGGGGTGAGTACGGTTCCTTTCCTTCTTCTCTCATCTCGGCGAAAATGGTGAGTTTTTGTGCCTCGGTGTTTCCAGAGTAATCCAACAATTTTGGAGACATCGTCGTTTCGTAGACCATTTATTTGCGAGAAACATGCAATCGAGATCGTCGCGAATAATTCTGGGTGTTTATTACACTCGCGAGAAAAATGTTTCGATATATTTATGCCATACTGGACGAAGTTAACCTAAACTCTTCCGCGTTGGATAACGTTAACCTTCGAGAATCGAGTTGATCGTAATTTTGTGTATTGCTAATATTTATCTAGAGCTTATTATTTTGTTTTTGTCTAGTCTACACATAGGAAGAAGACCAGGAAGCTGCGCGGGCACGTGAGCCATGGCCACGGCCGCGTTGGTAAGTTTGTTCAATATATCGTAGTGTAGCCACATGCGTGAAATATGCGAAAAATAGATCTAATTTTTACCAATGTAAAATACCTCTTGCAAAATTTCAATTGAAGTTTCTCGGATCGAATCAAAAGTACTCGTTGCTCGTGTAATCATTCGCTCATCTATCATACCTTAAGTATTTTTAGTTAAACTTGATATAAACATACAATTTTTCTTCCTACTCCGTTAAGTACGTTAAAGATATACTGATTTATACAGGTCTTGTGTGTATCTTTTAGGTAAGCATAGAAAGCACCCAGGTGGTCGCGGTAATGCCGGTGGTATGCACCATCACCGAATAAATTTCGACAAGTACCATCCCGGTTACTTCGGAAAAGTAAGAATACGTTCGCGTACGATGTTACATAGTGAAAATAGTAAGGGCGGCTGTGTTTATAAGATGATGAGAATCTAATTTTCACCGGCGAACTGAATTACATTGATTGCTTTTATTTAATCTGAATAATTTCAAGCAGAAAACATTTCGTCGAGAGTTTATTGTTCTCCAAACTGATATTTCTTTATTTTGCAGCTCGGTATGAGGAATTATCACTTACGACGCAACACCAAATGGTGTCCTACTATAAATTTAGATAAATTGTGGACTTTGGTTTCTGAACAGACGAGATTGAAATACAAAGATATTGAAGGCAAAGCGCCCATAATTGATCTCGTGAAAGCGGTAAGTTATAAAAGATTCCTTGTAATTTTGCACAAATGTGTTCTTTAAATATTTGCGTGTCACATATGATGATTTGCAACGGGCGGACTGAAAAAGTGCTGTACAACACTTGTATTCCTGTTGAATGTTGCATCTGATTGTAATAAGACATTAAAATGAAGTAAAGCTTAAAATTCAATTATATTAAAAAGTTTATAACTCTTATACTTGGGTACATAAACACCACTTGATGTTAGTTTTTTTTTTCAGGGATATTACAAACTCTTGGGAAAAGGACGCCTTCCAAAGCAGCCTGTTATCGTAAAGGCTAAATTCTTCAGTAAACAAGCGGAGGATAAGATCAAGGCAGTTGGTGGTGTATGTGTTTTGTGCGCGTAATCGAGTATGTACCTTTTTCTCAGGATATCAATATTTCGTGTTGTCATGATGATCTAGTGTAACGGTACAATCGGAGAGAAACCTGAGAGCGGCCACGCCGACGTTTTACTCGATATCGTTTTAGGAAGCTGTTTTGCGCGCCCTTGCGCTCGTTTTAACTTTTGAAACTATTTCATCGCGCATTTTCTGACTGCTGATCAAGTCTCCACTTTGTGCGTGTTCATGCTACGCCTATTTTTCAGCTGTGAATTTCAAAATTACATTAACATAAATTATCTGTTTACATTAATTTTGTTCATGTAGTCGATGTAAATTTTATAAATTAAATGTCAGAGTGCATAGCAGACATGCACCAGTGGAAATTTTATCGGCACAGTCAGAAAATGCGTAATGAAATAGTTCCAAAAGTAAAAATTTGTGCAAAGGCGCACAAAACAGTCTCCTGAAACAGTATCGAGTAAAACATCGGCGTGGCCGCTCTCAGGTTTCTCTCTCTGGTAAAATATTTTAACTACTTAAAATTTTTAAGTTTCGTATATGATGATTTGCAACGGGCGGACTGAAAAGTGCTGTACAACACTTTATATTCTTGTTGATTGTTGCATTCTGATTGTAATGAAACATTAATATCGAGTTAATTGTAAAGCTTAGACGCACGTAATCATGAAGTGCAAACGATTCCGGATTGTTGCTGCGCATTAGTATAGATCGTTACATTCTGATCAATGATTTTATGAAATACCTTAAAGATTGCGTAATCACAAAAAAATTTGTTTCATTTTTAGAATATCAATATCCATCAACATGTACTGTGTAAGTGCTTAAACTTTGCTAAAACGCATGGAATAAAAGATCAGGAGTAATTTGTGGAGAATGTATTTCGATGAAATGATAAATAAACACATTTTTGTAAAGCACATTTCTCGTTTCTCACATCTCCTATAAGTAAATTCCACCTTGTACAACAGTACAAATATAATTAAAGTATAGACAGTAGTGTCGAAAGAAGCTTAATTATAAAGATGCGCCTTGTTCCACTAAATTCTTATGCTAAGTGTGGTGGTGGAGGAGGTATTTGCATTCCAGTCGCCAAGAGAGCTGGCGGTGGTGGCACCGGATTGAACATTGGCGGTCTGGGCGGAGGCGGTGGAACAGGCACCATTGGACCCAGTCCTGGCCTTATCAGGGGAACTGGCGGTGGTGGTACCTTGCCCACCGACGGCTTCTCGTTCTTAAATGCAAACTGCAAGAAAAACTGCTTTGTGTCTTTATTCCAATGGGTCCAGAATTTTCCCTCTGCCTTTTCCACTTCCCTGCTGGGCACCTATGTATAAAAGTATCGACAGTGAGCAAAGAAAGTGCAAATAGGAATTTTTTATTTAACCAATCGAACTTATTAACGATCTTGGAAAGATAGGAACAAAGTAGTTTTTTACCTTGAAGGCGATAGTTTCGTATGGTTCAGCAGCAAACAGCAGATACTGCCACTTGCGATCTGGTGGCTCGACTCTTTGCTCGTAGGCGGACATAAACCTGTGTCGCGGTATTACATTGTCCGCTACCTCCGGATAATCCACTTGAAACAGCAGGCTCTGCTGGCCAGACTCTGGATCGCGTTGCTTGGTGACTCGGTAACCAGGCCGACCGATCTTGACGAACTTCTTCGGCTCGACTCGGGGCTTCTCCGGTGCAAGGGTCTGCGGTGCTTCCTTGGCCTCCTTCGCAGCCCTTCTGGCCAGATTGGCCTGGTGTTTCTTACCCTGTGTATGCGCTAGGTAGCTACCCTCGTTGTTGTGTAAGGTGAGGCACAACTTACACTCGTACGAACCCAGGTGATTTTTCATGAAATATGGGTCCTTGTTCAGATCGATGGTTTCCAGGGCGAGCTGGCGGAGCCGCTCCCGACGGTCACGATTGCTTTCCGACCAGGACGCGACGCCGCCGCCGCCGGTTTTGCCGCCCGGGCGATTCTGGAAATCCATACCGGCTCGTGTGTGTCGCGTCGGTCGAAAGATAAAGACTCTTCCTCGTTGACGTAAATATTCAACGACGGTACCGTAAATACAAATAACCTCACTTGAATGGTAACCGTATTATCTGTCTGTATTTTACAATATTACTAGATGGAAGATATCTCTAAAAAGAGAGGGGATAGTATTGGCATCACTGAAAATTCCTAGGTAAAGCCTGCTGCAGACGATGCTATTTCCTGCTGGGGTGCGTTCCAAATCCCTACCTTGGTTACCATAGCCATAGC